GAAGATAATCTTGAAGAAATCGACAAACATTGTCCCCTCAAATCCTAGGGTTCTCGTATGAAACCCTAGACAAAGGAAGATCGAGGTTAGTTTCAATCAAGATGCCTAAAATTATCTAAAAAATTGAAGTTATCGAAAGAGATAGGGTTAAAAAACTTGTTACTAGATGTGTCTCAATTCTACGACGTAAAATAGTAAATGCTAGACTATTTTACTTTCTCCGAATAATGAAGATCAAGCCCTTACAGTACAACTCTGTGAAGATTAGGGTTTTGACCATCAAGAATGTCGAAAATATTTAGATCCAAGGTTTTCAACACACATCAAGCGGCTCTAATACCATTGTTGCTATTAATAGTCCCAGATAAAAACCAAATCAAATCGAAACAAAGAACACAAGGACTTTTCGCCTTTAGGCTTGGATGTTAACCTACAAAGGGTTAATCACCACGTTGAGCATCCACCTAAATGGTTATCGCTTTAATCTACTAGAATTCAGCAAAGTATATCAATATACAAGTATCAGAGACTCAAGAATCCAATGACTCTAAGCCCTCAGCCGCAAACTCTCACTTTTCTCTCTTTTACAGATTACACTAAGTAACCAAAGGTTACTGCTTATCAAAGAATAGAAAAATCACACACATACCGTAATCCATACTAGACATCACCAAGAACATCCAGACCCAAGAGATTATAGACGAAAACTAAGATTTTTCAAAGAGAAAGTACAAAGATTAAAGTGAAAGTAAAACCCTAGAATTATCTCAAAAATCTAGCAAGTAAATGAGAGGTTCTGAATATAAAAGGTTCATCATGCATCCAACGGTTGAGTCAACACCAAGTGTTACCATCTCAGCCATTTGACTCCAACAACTAAGTTGTGTTTAAGTAAATGTGAGTATGCACATAGAAGCCAGTCGGGTCACATTCTACCATAATGGACCAACTGTACAAGTTATTGGGCTGCATCATTGGGCCTCAACGCTTAAGATGTTAAGTACACGGTTAACAGCCAGCAATGGTTTAATGTCAACAATCGCACTGGCAGGGAAAACTGTAGCCTATTAACAATAGAACGGAAGCATTACCAGGCTTGAGCCAAGGAATGAGGTATTGATGCTAAAATTAGGGATTCTTTCCTTATCTGCATACAATTTTGCAAATTTACAAGGGAGTTTACTCAAAATTTGTTTCTAAATTCTAAATTTTTTTTATTTTTTTTTTATTGATGATATTTTCAAACAATGGGAACAAATCGAAACTTTGAGGTTTTCAAATCAAAAGCATTTTGAGGAAGGGACTCGATGAAACCCTGATCCCTAAACTATTGGAATGTGTAGCATGTCTTTTTGAGGTCATGTGGATAGATTGAAAAGTTTTTTTTGATTTTTTTGGTTTTGAGACTTTGGACGGAGATGGTGACAGTTCGCAATGGTGACAATGGATGGTTGGGATTTCAATTTTCAATTTTGTTGAAAAGGGTGGGGTGGGGGTTTGAGGAGATGAATATTTTTTTTTAAAAAATAAATAAATTTGATTTAAATATTTTAACCTTTTTATTATAGAAAAAGTAAATTGATTGTTTTACCCCTCATTTAATTTGTCAATTTGAGTCAAAGTTCCAATTTCAGTGTTGATTAACGGAATTTTGGATAGAATCTATCATTTGGACTTCAGTTGTAGTCAAAGCAAAAGGTTTGGGACTGCAACTACAAAAATGAAAGGTTAAGGCATATTCTGTAACAAAATAAAATATTTGGGGACCTCCGCTGCAATTTCCTTGGAAGAAATGAATCCATGATTTCGATTGTGTTATGTTTTAGCTAAATATATTGATATCAATTCTTTTACGTGCATCACAGTATAATTGCATGAAATGTCCATAATATTTACCAATTGTCACACTTTTGTCTCCAACTTTTTTATCGCATTTTATTTTCAATCTTTCATTAATTAAAACATGTTGTCTATGATGACGATTTTCCTCAAAAAAATTCATTAAGTGGGAGAAAAACATTTATTTGCACCTCATATTTTTTAAGAAGGAAAAAACAACAATTACAAAATTATCACTAAATATTTGCTCCCTCTTTTAAAGCATGTTATAATAATTTATAGATGAAACCTGTCATTATAGACAATATTTGCTAATATAAAGTTGAGGTTAAAATATAATGAAAAATAGGGAAATAAATGTGACACTAAATAAAGTTTAGGGGCATATAATATAATTATAATATAGTGCATTTACGAAAGTGTAGTGTTGATATAACCTCTATGTTTTATTCAGAAAATGAGAAGGTTACATTTTCGTTCCTTTATGCATCTCTAAAGCGGTGGGAGTTGCGGTGGAACGGTGATTGTGGGTGGGATGGCGTAGGGTGAAGGTATTTGTGATCAATTATTTGGTTGATCATGATTAATAAATTGATTAATTTGTGATAAATAAATAATATGTGATCAATTATTTGAGATTGTGACCAATAAATTGGATATTTTGTGACTAATAAATAATATGTGACATAAAAATTCGAGTCGTGACTTATAAAATTTGTAATTTATGACCGATAAATATATTGTGACTTATAAATAGTTTGATTTGTGACCAATGAATAAATAGTGACATATAAAATTTTTGATTGTGATTGAGAAATAATTTGTGACCAATTAATTCTATAATTTGTGATCTTAACATATTTAAGTGAGTGTGTGTGTGTGTGTGTATATATATATTTATATTTAATTAATTATTTCATAAGTAAAATTTAATTAATATTTCATTTATGAAGTTTTAAACCTTGTCTCTTAGTTTTGAAATTGGCCATACTTAATTGCTTAGATATGAATTTTTTGTGAAAAGAAATTAGAGAAGGAGAAAATTTGATAAAATCATGTTTTGAGTTTCCCCTATCACAAATCAATAAATATTTTTCCCCACAAGTCAGGTATCTACTATTAAAGAAATAAATATATTTTTGCATTTAATTTTTCATTTTCACGAATCCCTATAATTTAGAGATTAATTTATTATCTTAAGATTATTTTTCAATATTCAAATTTCGCAAATTTCGTCTACCTTTTCTTATTTACTGTCTTACAGAGAGAAGTCTTCTATCTTTTCCATATTTGTTCTGATTTGGTCACACAAGTTTCATCCTCATTGTTAAGAATAATACCTTACTACCTTCGTTGCAATTTATTTATTATTATTATTATTATTATTATTATTATTATTATTATTATTATTATTATTATTTTTCAATCATGTTATAAGTGCAGATTTTTTTGAATTGTCTTGGCGTGGTACCATTGGAAGATAGGAAAACATGAAAAATGCCAATTAGATTTGGTTACGTCAGCGTCGGTATGCATTTTGTTAAAATTTTCCTGTAATAGGAGCTTTGTTGATTTTTTTTCCTGATACATGCTACGTCAAGGGACTTACATTGTTCCACGTCAGTTACATCTACGTGACTAGTAAATATTCGTCATGTTGCAAAATATGTCTCATTTTTAAGAAGGCGAAACACACGAGAACATATATCACTTTTTTTTTTTTTTTCTGGCCTAGAGAGTCAAACCCAACATAATAGTGCTCCAAGCCACAGGAGGCCCAACACAAGGCATTACCAGCACACTACAAAGCATTACCACCCACACTAACCGAGGCCCAAATTTTAATTTTGCTATGTAACTATGTTCATACAAACTAAGATCCAGTTTGGTTTATTTTAAAAAGTTGATTAAGATTTAAGTTAAAGTCTAATGAATTGAACAATATATTTCACGAGACCAACTTTTTAACCACATGTTTATTCAATTTTTATCAAAATCCACTAAAAATCTGATTTTTATATAATGGTGCGCATTTGATTACAAGAAGTTGACTATTATTTTACAATTTCAGCATTTCATGCGCCCTTTGGGGTGCAAAGTACAATGAACATAACATTACCTATTTGACTTTGTAAATATAAAATTATAGTGTTAGAGTCAGCCTCAAAAGGTCATTATTTCCACAAATGATTGCATTATGAAAACATTTAATTATTGTTGTAAGATGGCCTGCACGTTTGTTGGTTGGTTGAGACCTATTCTCAGTATAAACAGCAGTATGCATGTATATGTATGTTGTGTATTAGTTATCTGAAGACTCATCTTTCATGCAAAATGGGAAATGTGTACGCACAGAGTTTGTAAAATCCCACAAAAGAATTAGACCTCATGGAGGTGAAGAGGAGGAAGTTGAAGCCTTGTGCAATGGAAATAAAACTGGAGAAGATTTTCAGCGTCATAAGAAGGCGTTGGCATTGCCTTCTAAAACAGATGTGGCAGAAGATTGTAACTCTCAGAGAGTTAAAATAGTAGTGACAAGGAAGCAGTTGGAGCTGCTGATTAAAAGTGGAGTGGAGCTCCATTTGAGACGAATCTCAAATCAGTCCCGTGTACGAAGAACTTGTAAGCGATGGAGGCCATGTTTAGCTACCATTCCAGAGTTGTAGAATTTTTGAACCATAGGATTCTATTTTTTTTTTTTTTGACAGATCCTATGAAAAAAAAGTGGGAAAGTAGGATGATCAAAGCGGAGTGACAAGGAAGCAGTTGGAGCTGCTGATTAAAAGTGGAGTGGAGCTCCATTTGAGACGAATCTCAAATCAGTCCCGTGTACGAAGAACTTGTAAGCGATGGAGGCCATGTTTAGCTACCATTCCAGAGTTGTAGAATTTTTGAACCATAGGATTCTATTTTTTTTTTTTTTGACAGATCCTATGAAAAAAAAGTGGGAAAGTAGGATGATCAAAGCGGATGACAAAAAACCGATATTTTCGAGCATTTGCACCATGGTTTGATTGAAACTGTGAGCTCTCAGGATTTTAGAGAGGAAAGATGTTTAGTCTTTAGGCTGATCATCTCTGTTTCCCCTGTTACGGTGTATCAAAAACTGTTTCCCTTGCAACATTCAACCTTCTAGAATCTGTCCAATGCTTCGTGCTTCTATTTGGTGAAAATTTAACAATTTTCATTGAATTATTTACTGGTAGAACTCGTATACATTGGATCGAGTAATATCAACGTAAATATGATAATTTGGATACATATCATTCCAAAATTCATAAAAACTAGCCTAGTAGCCTTCAATTTCACATACTATCGAGACATTATTTCTGTTTATTTAACAACTGTCAAATTCTCTGCATCTGAATATGTAGAAATATTGAGAAGTCTAATGGATGGAGTGACTTCCAGATCATTATCACCTCTTTTCTTCAAATGGATCTTTAAAAGGCATCCATGATCCTTATCAATTGAAACTGTCAAAAGGTTAGCAAATTTATCCGTAATTGCATATAAAATCATTTGAATTCAGACCAATGGGAAAATTTACAAACCTTTTTGATGAGCTTCTGTTTCTTATCCTTTCATCCACCTATATTAGAACTGAACCCTTCTCTCTTATTGGTGCTCTCTTTATTTTCTTCGACTGTACTTCTAATGCTCGTGTCATCGTTTTACTCTTCTTCATAAGAATCTGAAAATAGTGAACCTAGCATTAGAACACAACATGCATATTAATCACACAAACTCATCAAATATGGGGGCAGTTACTGGGACTTTACCTTGATTTCTTCATTTTTAGCATTTAAAGTACTGTCTCTCGATTCACAGGACTTTCTCAAATATATGACCTCTTTCTGAAGCCTGTCGTACAAAAATCCCGAGACCATATCATCACTATCCTTTTTAGTACTGTCCATACTTTTAACGTTCTCCGAGTCTCTGAGTTCATCACTTCTACACTTTTCAATACTGATCATAGTGTTTTCGTTTATTTCTGTATTCTCCTTTTCGTTGCAATCCACGATCTTATTTCGAGAAGCCCACAAACTCTTTTTCAAGAAACTTCCCCCAGAAGAGTATCTCTTGTTTAAACTATTAACTGCCTTAATTTCTCCGGCTGCGCCTGGAGTTTGCCTTTCATCCCCTGTCTGCATCGAGATTTTACTAGCGGTGGACGATCTTTGTTGTGATGTAGATCTTTTGTTTGCTCTGGTATTACTTGCTAGGATTCCAAATAAATTATTTGACTTCTCAATTTTCGGGGATCCATTAGAATTCACTGAGAAAGTAGACACATGCTTTAAGCCTTCTTCCAGTGTCTTCAGCCTTAATTTCAACTTATCCTAAGGAAAATGAAGCATCTTTAGTTCACTCAATCAACTTAAGAAGTATATTATATCTAATGGCTGTATGAAATATGGTTCCCAGTACCTTTAGTTGTGCTTCTGCCTTGGTTGCTCTTTCTGAGATAGCTAGTTTTTCTTTTAACCGTTGTATCTCAGCCTATAATATATAGGTCTCAAAATTAAGAAACAAACTCGTAACACATACAAACCGTTGAATCACACTGGATAGGACTAGACACTAGAACAAGAAGATTTTAACTTACCTTTATATATATATATATATATATAAAAAGTAGATACATGTACCAATATCGTGTTTATCAGCTCGACTTTCACATTACTATTTTCGATTCTGGCAACTTATACACCAATTGGCTAGCAAGAGTACAGTACAGATGTTGTATATCTCCATCTAATTTACCTCATTCTTATACATTTTAAGTTCTGCCTCAAGAGGAGCTATGATTGATTCAATAGGAACATAATCATCATCCTTTTGATTTGCATACACCCTTCTAAGAGTCGCCTCTGCCGCATATTGTGCAGTCAATGCTTCTCTCTTCTCATCAGCAAGTTTCTTGATATCAAGATTCTGCATCAATCACATTCAAACCAGTTATCTTCATACCCAACTTTCTGATATAGCAATTTAGCTCCATTTGGATACAAATTTAGTCAAAGTCAAAAATTAATTTGCATATTCATAACTATTACTAATAATTATTTACACATTTTTTTTGGGTTCTCTTACTGTTCTTTTTAAAAACCATTTATAAATTTGCCAAACAGAGGCTTAAATTTTTCATTTATGAAAAAAAAGAAAGAAAAAGAGCAATGTACCTTTTGTTCAAGAAGATTTTCAGTGACACTGAGCTTTTCTTCCAATCTTATCACTTCGCTCCTGAACTGTAAACAAATTTTACATAGATAGGTATATTTAGGAAGCAATTTTAATCATGCTATACCAATATCATTGGTGAATTGCAGTTTGAAATTCATGCTGTCGCTACTCAAAGCAACTGCGTCTTTAAAGTTTCCGAATTTTAATAATAAAATTAAAGAAATTAGGATACTTGTTTTGAGTTCTTAAGACATTTCCTAAGTCTTTGAAAAGTTTACTTTTTTCGAAATATGAATTAAGAATGTTTGTCTTGAGTACCTGTTCCATTGCCTTATCCTTGAGGACTTCAGTTGCTCTCAGTGCCCTGAATTCACATTGAGCCTTCTTCAATTCCCCATTCTTCTCTGAAATTATGTCAGCAGTCATCATTTTTAGTGATGTTTATTCATGTAATATCTGCCTTTACTATTGAAACTGTTCTCCTGCCCATTGTGAACAGGATAAAGCTGTCCACTTGATATGATATGAGATTCTCACTTACAGTTCTTTTCAAAGAACAAAATAAGACTTCTCACTGAAGCACAAAGAAAGACTTCCTTTCCAAAGTGAGCAAGATAATACATTTCCTCCGTGGGCAGGAGAATAGGAGTGTGAAATCTCCAAAATGTGATATATTAATGAAAAAATGAATATAGAGGACCTGGAAACTAGATAACACTGTGTTTGAATTGTCCTAGTCAGTACCACAACTAATTCTTGATGTCTCCAACTAATTTTTTGTTTAAATACTGCTCACATGCATAAACATCTTTTTTTTTTTTTCTTACTCGACTATGCTCGGTGACACGTATTATTAAAAACGAGAGAGAGAGAACCTTTGAGTAGGTTGTTGAGCCTGTTGAGCTCAAGGACAACAGGGTCTGGATGTGAAAGAGAGAGTTCTTCACCAAGTTCCTTCAACACAGACATTTTCTTTGTTATCTTTTGTCCTGCTTTCTAATGCAAAGAAACGGACTAGTTACGAGTTATTTATATAGTAATTGCTCCTAGCCCTTAAAGAGAGAGTCCATACTTGTAAGGAATTGACCACAAAGAGAGGGATGGATTTCCTTCATTTTGAAGCAAACTCCAATCGAAAATATCTGATACCCACCCTTCTTTCCCTCGTCTCGAGAATCAGTTGAACATGAGGTGGCCTTTTCTCGCAAGGAAATTTTATGTAGGATCGAACTATGTGCACAACATGGCACCTGGCTCGGTTCACAACACCCTCACACTGGGGGGCCCACGCCAATAAAAAAATAGCGCAAGCTCCACAGCAGTACAACACAGTGGGGGTGCTGTAAAAACAGCTTCATCCTTTTATGTATGGCTCACACTAATACACTTTATCGTGCAAGTCTTTAGTGCACCTATCTTAAACACGAGGTGGGCTTTTCTCCTAAGGAAATTTTATGTAAGGCTCACACAAATAGACCCTGCCGTACGTGATAAAGGTCTTTATTACGTCGCGTGCTTTATGTTAAAATTTGAGATTATATCTTAAAAGGTCAATTTATTAAGAAAAGTAGCCAAAGTTTTTATAAATTGGTTTATATTTTTATTTTTATTCAGTGTGAGATTTCATCCCTTAACATGCTTGCAAGATGGTGGCGCGTTTGAACAAATCAATCTTAAAATCTGTGTGCTCATTTTTTCGAGTCTTAATTGGATCGAATTGCTTGTTGAAATTTAATGAGTTATGATATTATATTAAGACTTGTGTTTTTATTTTAAAATGCCAAACTTATTAAGAGGAGTGGTTCCAATCTTATATATTGGTATATATTTTTATGTTCATTTGACGTGGGATTTTATCCTTTTGCACTTTGCCATCCATTGAAAAATGAAAATTGTGCCCCCCAGGGCACATCCGAGTTGGTGGAACAATCACTATGGCCGGCTTGCAACCTTAGCGTGGAGAGTTCGATTCCTGATCAATGCAGTGAGGATGATTCTCTTGGGGCCATGAGTATAAACCAAGTGGGAACTTGGGAGCCAACAAGGGCATAACCTACGATTTACCTCCTCGAGTCATTGAGGGGTCAGTGACTAGAGATTTAGGATTTAGTCTGACGAAGTTGGGATACTTGGGTATCAAAAAATAAAAAATAAAAAAAAATGAAAATTGTAGCGTGTGTTATAGAATAAACTGTTAACTCAGATATTTTCATCATGATGCACCACCTACTTCATGATTATTAACTATTACTTCTTTAAATTTAGATCCCTTGAAATAAAGTTATCTTTGAAAAATCTTGAAAAATGACGTCCTATGCATGCGTTATAGAATAAACAGTAAATTCAGATATTTTCAACATGACACACCACCTACTTCATGATTATTAAGGGCATGTTTCAGCCTGATATTCTCCAAAGATACATTTTAGAGTAATGATTTGATGAAAAATACGTGGTTAAAGAATAAGAAAAATTTTGAATTTTCGTGTAATAGACTAATATTATTTTATAAAAGAATGTATGATTGAAAATAAGAGAGAGAAAAATATATTTTAAATATAATGGCGATCAAGTGCTAACTATTATTTATTTAAATTTAAACCCCTTGAAATAAACTTCTCTTCGGAAAATCTTCAAAAATGACGTCCTAGCATGTGTTATAGAATAAACAGTAAATTCAGATATTTTCATCGTGATACACCACCTACTTCATGATTATTAACTATTATTTCTTTAAATTTAGACCCATTGAAATCAAGCTCTTTGGAAAATCTTGAAAAATGACGTCCTACTAAACAAATTTGATAGATAGCAATTTCAATACTAGAATATAGAATAGACACATGTTCAAGTTTTCACCATTCACATGTGCAATTGCCAACTACTATGTTGAGTTTGTGTCGCAATTCGCAAAACTACGGTAGCTTGATCTTTCGACTATCTTAGGACTAATACAACAATGTTATAAAAGAACTTTCAAGCATCCACGCTTTTAAAAGCCAATTTTGGCGTTAACTTAAATTTTACTAATGTAAAACCATATATATAGATGGAACAAATTCATGGGGAAATTAATGACATTAGTTCAAGAAAACCAAACTCCAAAATGATAAAATGTGATTAAAAAAAACTGAAAGTTTGCAGCCAGTAGTTCAAATTGGCATTGCGAACGTTCTGAGAAGGAAAGAGATGGTAGGTAATTTGGTAACATCTCATTCCTATACCAAGAAAACTAAGGTGCATTTCTTGGACTTTTCGTTTACATTAAACCGTCTTAATTATCAAGTTTAATAAGATGGGTTTCTTGCAAAATGATCATAAATCAAGAGAAAATATCAAGGAATATTTTTAGTGAAGTCGTGATCTGCAAATCTTGATGGAAAGCATTTGATTAGGACTTAATCAATTGCTTAATCATTAAACCCGCCTAGATTCTTGCTTGATGTCAAGGCAAGTCTTTATTCTGATAGCGATTTGAACTAAAACCAAGAATACGAAGTATATGGTTTTACTTTAGAGCCTGTTTGGGAGTGATTTTGAGAATTGATTTTTTGACCGTTAGTAGAAAAGTGGGGTCCACCTGTGAGAGAAGAAGTCAAATATGACGGCTGGAATAGTGAAATAACGGTCAAAAAATCAATTTTTTTGGGGCAAAAAATCGCTCCCAAACAAGCTGCTAGTTGGGTTGATAGGTATTAGAGTCAAGGAAAATCGGACTTCAAAGTTTGTTCACGCATTGAACCTTGGATGAAAGAAAAATCTAATAGCACGTGAGTGAACATTTAAAAAATAAAATAAAAAAAATATGTTTGCTGCTACTCCGATGATTTAAACTTTTAGACGAAGTAGTTTGATGTAGGAATCTTCAATAAATTGAAAAGGGTTCAAAAATAACATGAATCACCATATGATCATCTTTGCTTGTAAGTGCTTGTTTAAAAAGTTATTAAAAGTTGATATCAAAGTCAACAATCAATTTTAACTACACATTTTACTAGATTCACAACTAAATAAAATTTTTCATACATTTCATCAAATTTTATCAAAATATGTCAATCCCCAATTTGGTCCTACTAGATTTTTGAATTAAAATTAAAGTAAAAGTCAACAATTACTTTTAAACACACAATTTATAAATTTTTATGAAATTCTACTTTAAATCTTATTTTTAACTAAACCAAACAGGGACTAAATTTTTTTTCGAAATCTTGTAAAAGAAATTTTAAGACAATATCAAGCACTGACATGGGAAGTTTGATGAGAGACTAAAAAGTGCCCTATGAGGCTATGACAACTTTACTAAAGATTACTCGATGAGACGACGAAGAGAATCCCTTTAACAAATATTAGATAGTACTTTTACTTTGGTTTTTATTTTTTTTAAAAGAGTTTTATGAGAAAATTATTTAGATCAATTTTTCCTAAAATTTTTATCCAGGCAAAGCACTATTAAAAAATTATTCAAACATATTCAAAAACTTCTTAATTTCAAAAATAATTTTTATTTTTCAAAAATCTCATCAAACGTATCCTCTCTCTCTTTTAAAAATAGATTTTGGGAAAAATATGTTTGAAATAGTAATTTTTGAGGAAGGTGAGGTGAAAAATAAGGAAAATTATATATATATTGGAGTCCAAAAAAGGGTGCTGTCCCTCGTAGGGAGAAAAAGATATAGTGGAATACCGAATACACTATAACCAAAATTTCAAACCGGATATTTATCAATTATTTTAGAAGTATTAATCCTAATTGAAATTTTGGCGCTAAGTTGGAAAGTGAGTCTTGGTTCAAACTTACCTATTTTGATGCGTGTTTGGTATACTCGTAGATTTAGCCGTTGTTTGAGCCCTATTTTTTTTTGTTATAAATGTATTTTTGAATAGTGATTTTTTGGAAAACGTGTGATTAAAAATAAGAAAAAAATTTCGATTTACATATGATTTTATTTTATTGAAAAAGTCTGTGTGATCTTTAGGGGGCCACATTTAGGGTGATAATTGAAATCACTGTCATTCGTGGTAGCCTTAAACATTCTTGAGAAGTATTCAACACATAGCACAAACAAAAAGGAGGAGAGGGGATCACCTTGTCGGAGTCCTTTTCTTCCTTTGAAGAACCCATGTCTATTCTCATTCAAAGCTACGGAATACGTAGGAGAAGTAACACATTCCATGACCCAACTTATAAATCTCGAGGGGAAGTGCAACCCTTCAAGAATATCTCTAAGGAAATCCCAACTTATCAAATCGTAAACTTTCGTAAGATTAATTTTTAGGAGGCATCTTGGAGCAACACTTTTCCTATTGTATTGCCTCGTGAGTTCTTGGGCAAGATGAATGTTCTCTATCATACTCCGACCTTCCACAAAAGCAGCTTGTGCATGATCCACAATACCATCCAAAATAGTTCTCAATCTAGAGGCAAGAATTTTAGCGATCACTTTGTAAGTAACATTACAACAAGAGATATGCCTAAATTCCCCAACATGCAGTGTGTGACAAGATTTAGGCACCAAAGCAATGATTGTATGATTGATTTGTTTGAGGATGGAACCCGAAGAGAAGAACTCCATGATAGCTTCAACAAACTCATCACCAATAGTCCCCCATGCACTCTTGAAAAAACAAGAAGTATAACCATTCGGTCCGGGAGACTTATCATCTCCAATATCAAAGAGTGCTTCTTTGATCTCCTTATAAGAAATGTCCCGACTCAAAGAGTTATCTTGTTCCAATGAAACCAAGGGACCGTTTGTTACAATTTCCATCTCAATAGGCCGAGTTGGGCAATTTTTTCCCAGCAAAGTAGTGTAAAATTTTACAAATTTCGTGGCAACTTGATCTCCTGATGTGGTATACATCCCATCCTCTTTCAGTATAGTAGCTATAAAATTCCTCCTTGAGCACCTTTTAACCACCGAGTGAAAGAACTTTGTACATTTATCACTTTGCTTAAGGAAGATGTATTTTGCCTTTTGATAATAAAAGCCACGTTCCGCTTCACATAAGCCAACAACTTTCTTTCTCAATTTAGCAACCATAAGTTGAAGATTTTCATTCATGGGTTGATTATGTAGTTGTAATTGGGCAACCTCCAATTCATTTTTAGTCTCATTTGCCCTAGTCGAAATGTGCCCAAAATGCTTAATATTAAGCTCCTTCAAAGCTCCCTTTAGTTTGCTCAACTTCTTGTAAAGGATAAATTGCTTTATCTCCCGCATATTAAAGTTCCAATAAGTTTGAATAAGATCATGAGAGTCCTCATGTTTGGTCAACATGTTAAAAAAACTTGAAAAGTTCTTTAGCGCTCCCCAACATGGTCATGTACGGAAAACAATGCAAGGGGAGTGGTCAGAAAGGCACCCGGAAGGTAGAAAATTTGCATGAACATATGCCCCATTTTGCACCCAAATATCATTGACCATTGCCCTATCAATTTTCCTCCAAACCGAGTGATTAGTCCACGTGTAATAATGACCAATGGACCGTACATTTGTAAGACCCACATGAAGGCAACAATTTGCAAAATCCTTAATTTCATAAGGACTAACGTTTGCCCCATTACATTTCTCATCAAATTTGAGAACATTATTGTAGTCACAAAGAATCATCCAAGGCAACGAAACTCTAGTGTTGTATGACAAAAAGCCGATATTTTCGAGCATTTGCACCATGGTTTGATTGAAACTGTGAGCTCTCAGGATTTTAGAGAGGAAAGATGTTTAGTCTTTAGGCTGATCATCTCTGTTTCCCCTGTTACGGTGTATCAAAAACTCTTTTCCTTGCAACATTCAACCTTCTAGAATCTGTCCAATGCTTCGTGTTTCTATTTGGTGAAAATTTAACAATTTTCATTGAATTATTTACTGGTGGAACTCTTATACATTGGATCGAGTAATATCAACGTAAATATGATAATTTGGATACATATCATTCCAAAATTCATAAAAACTAGCCTTGTAGCCTTCAATTTCACATACTATCGAGACATTATTTCTGTTTATTTAACAACTGTCAAATTCTCTGCATCTGAATATGTAGAAATATTGAGAAGTCTAATGGATGGAGTGATTTCCAGATCATTATCACCTCTTTTCTTCAAATGGATCTTTAAAAGGCATCCATGATCCTTATCAATTGAAACTGTCAAAAGGTTAGCAAATTTATCCGTAATTGCATATAAAATCATTTCAATTCAGACCAATGGGAAAATTTACAAACCTTTTTGATGAGCTTCTGTTTCTTATCCTGTCATCCACCTATATTAGAACTGAAGCCTTCTCTCTTATTGGTGCTCTCTTTATTTTCTTCGACTGTACTTCTAATGCTCGTGTCATCGTTTTACTCTTCTTCATAAGAATCTGAAAATAGTGAACCTAGCATTAGAACACAACATGCATATTAATCACACAAACTCATCAAATATGGGGGCAGTTACTGGGACTTTACCTTGATTTCTTCATTTTTAGCATTTAAAGTACTGTCTCTCGATTCACAGGACTTTCTCAAATATATGACCTCTTTCTGAAGCCTGTCGTACAAAAATCCCGAGACCATATCATCACTATCCTTTTTAGTACTGTCCATACTTTTAACGTTCTCCGAGTCTCTGAGTTCATCACTTCTACACTTTTCAATACTGATCATAGTGTTTTCGTTTATTTCTGTATTCTCCTTTTCGTTGCAATCCACGATCTTATTTCGAGAAGCCCACAAACTCTTTTTCAAGAAACTTCCCCCAGAAGAGTATCTCTTGTTTAAACTATTAACTGCCTTAATTTCTCCGGCTGCGCCTGGAGTTTGCCTTTCATCCCCTGTCTGCATCGAGATTTTACTAGCGGTGGACGATCTTTGTTGTGATGTAGATCTTTTGTTTGCTCTGGTATTACTTGCTAGGATTCCAAATAAATTATTTGACTTCTCAATTTTCGGGGATCCATTAGAATTCACTGAGAAAGTAGACACATGCTTTAAGCCTTCTTCCAGTGTCTTCAGCCTTAATTTCAACTTATCCTAAGGAAAATGAAGCATCTTTAGTTCACTCAATCAACTTAAGAAGTATATTATATCTAATGGCTGTATGAAATATGGTTCCCAGTACCTTTAGTTGTGCTTCTGCCTTGGTTGCTCTTTCTGAGATAGCTAGTTTTTCTTTTAACCGTTGTATCTCAGCCTATAATATATAGGTCTCAAAATTAAGAAACAAACTCGTAACACATACAAACCGTTGAATCACACTGGATAGGACTAGACACTAGAACAAGAAGATTTTAACTTACCTTTATATATATATATATATATATATATGCTGTCAAATTCCTCTATCAAATATGTTATAGATCAGCTGAAAAGGGATACTTTTTTTTTTTTTTGTTCATGCATAGAAGAATGGAATGCGGGCCATTCTTATAGGAGCTTTTACGGTTTTGAGTAGTAAGTAATACCTCAAACATTTTTCTCTCTTCTAGCCATTTCTTGACTGGCATAACTCTGCTGTTTTCATCCTTCCACTCATTAGCAACAACTGTTGCTATTCGGTTTGCTGAAACCATGACTCTTGCAAGCTCCCTCTCCAATGTCTTCTTCTCCTCCTGTCGAGATGGACAGGACTAAGATGAATTGATACTTAAAAGTATAGACAGGTGATTCAAATTACACAAGCATGACTTACATTTAGTTCAGAAATCTGTCGTCTGTAACCACGGACAGCGTTGGCTGCTGTTCCACCAGCAAGTATGGCCTCCTCGAGCTCGATAATAGTTTGGCTAAGCTTTTCAATCTCTGAAACTTTTTGCCTATTATTCTTGTCAAGTATTTTATTCTCCTCCTGCACAAACACAAAAGCATTTTAATTAGCTTTTTTCAAATTTAAGTTGTAGATTAACCTTATAATTATTTGGTCGAATCATGCCTGACAGATCTCAATTTGTCTCCTGAGCTCAAAGTTTTCACTTTGAACTTCCTCTACTATAAGTGCCCTTTCAAGAGCATTCCTCAGTATCCTCTCAGCTTCAAGCAAGGCTGCTTCCTTCGACTTTGTGAGACGTTCCATTGCCCTCTTATCCTCCTGCAGTGCTCCAATCTAAAAAGTTCCAAAAAACAAGATTACAGAAAAGTAGATACATGTACCAATATCGTGTTTATCAGCTCGACTTTCACATTACTATTTTCGATTCTGGCAACTTATACACCAATTGGCTAGCAAGAGTACAGTACAGATGTTGTATATCTCCATCTAATTTACCTCATTCTTATACATTTTAAGTTCTGCCTCAAGAGGAGCTATGATTGATTCAATAGGAACATAATCATCATCCTTTTGATTTGCATACACCCTTCTAAGAGTCGCCTCTGCCGCATATTGTGCGGTCAATGCCTCTCTCTTCTCATCAGCAAGTTTCTTGATATCAAGATTCTGCATCAATCACATTCAAACCAGTTATCTTCATATCTAACTTTCTGATATAGCAACTTAGCTCCATTTGGATACAAATTTAGTCAAAGTCAAACATTAATTTGCATATTCATAACTATTACTAATAATTATTTACACATATTTTGTGGGATCCACTACTATTTCTCTTACTATTCTTTTTAAAAACCATTTATAAATTTGCCAAATAGAGGCTTAAATGTTTCATATATGAAAAAAAAAAAAAAAAAAAAAAGAAAAAAAAAAAAGAGAAATGTACCTTTTGTTCAAGAAGATTTTCAGTGACTAAGAGCTTTTCTTCCAATCTTATCACTTCGCTCCTGAACTGTAAACAAATTGTACATAGATACGTATATTTAGGAAGCAATTTTAATCATGCTATACCAATATCATTGGTGAATTGCAGTTTGAAATTCATGCTGTCGCTACTCAAAGCAACTGCGTCTTTAAAGTTTCCGAATTTTAATAATAAAATTAAAGAAATTAGGATACTTGTTTTGAGTTCTTAAGACATTTCCTAAGTCTTTGAAAAGTTTACTTTTTTCGAAATATGAATTAAGAATGTTTGTCTTGAGTACCTGTTCCATTGCCTTATCCTTGAGGACTTCAGTTGCTCTCAGTGCCCTGAATTCACATTGAGCCTTCTTCAATTCCCCATTCTTCTCTGAAATTATGTCAGCAGTCATCATTTTTAGTGATGTTTATTAATGTAATATCTGTCTTTACTATTGAAACTGTTCTCCTGCCCATCGTGGACAGGATAAAGCTGTCCACTTGATATGACATGAGATTCTCACTTACAGTTCTTTTCAAAGAATAAAATAAGACTTCTCACTGAAGCACAAAGAAAGACTTCCTTTCCAAAGTGAGCAAAATAATACTTTTCCTCCGTGGGCAGGAGAATAGGAGTGTGAAATCTCCAAAATGTGATATATTAATGTAAAAATGAATATAGAGGACCTGGAAACTAGATAACACTGTGTTTGAATTGTCCTAGTCAGTACCACAACTAATTCTTGATGTCTCCAACTAATTTTTTGTTTAAATACTGCTCACATGCATAAACATCTTTTTTTTCTTACTCGACTATGCTCGGTGACACGTATTATTAAAAACGAGAGAGAGAGAGAGAGAACCTTTGAGTAGGTTGTTGAGCCTGTTGAGCTCAAGGACAACAGGGTCTGGATGTGAAAGAGAGAGTTCTTCACCAAGTTCCTTCAACACAGACATTTTCTTTGTTATCTTTTGTCCTGCTTTCTAATGCAAAGAAACGGACTAGTTACGAGTTACTTATATAGTAATTGCTCCTAGCCCTTGAAGAGAGAGTCCATACTTGTAAGGAATTGACCACAAAGAGAGGGATGGATTTCCCTCATTTTGAAGCAAACTCCAATCGAAAATATCTGATACCCACCCTTCTTTCCCTCGTCTCGAGAATCAGTTGAACATGAGGTGGCCTTTTCTCGCAAGGAAATTTTATGTAGGATCGAACTATGTGCACAACATGGCACCTGGCTCGATTCACAACACCCTCACACTGGGGGGCCCGCGCTAATAAAAAAATAGCTCAAGCCCCAGAGCAGTACAACACAGTGGGGGTGCTGTAAAAACAGCTTCATCCTTTTATGTATGGCTCACACTAATACTTTATCGTGCAAGTCTTTAGTGCACCTCTCTTAAACACGAGGTGGCCTTTTCTCCTAAGGAAATTTTATGTAAGGCTCACACAAATAGACCCTACCGTACGTGATAAAGGTCTTTATTACGTCGCGTGCTTTATGTTAAAATTTGGGATCATATCTTAAAAGGTCAATTTATTAAGAAAGTAGTCAAAGTCTTTATAAATTGGTTTATATTTTTATTTTTATTCAGTGTGAGATTTCATTATTTAACACGTTTGCAAGATGGTGACACGTTTGAACAAATCAATCTTGAAATATGTGTGCTTATTTTTCGAGCCTTAATTGGATCGAGTTGCTCGTTCAAATTTAATGAGTTATGATATTATATTAAGACATGTGTTTCTATCTTAAAATGCCAAACTTATTAAGAGGAGTGGTTACAATCTTATATATTGGTATATATTTTTATGTTCATTTGACATGGGATTTTATCCTTTTGCACTTTGCCATCCATTGAAAAATGAAAATTGTAGCGTGTGTTATAGAATAAACAGTTAACTTAGATATTTTCATCATGATGCACCACCTACTTCATGATTATTAACTATTACTTCTTTAATTTTAGATCCCTTGAAATAAAGTTATCTTTGAAAAATCTTGAAAAATGACGTCCTATGCATGCGTTATAGAATAAACAGTAAATTCAGATATTTTCATCATGACACACCACCTACTTCATGATTATTAAGGGCATGTTTCAACCTCGATATTCTCCAAAGATACATTTTAGAATAGTGATTTGATGGAGAACATGTAGTTAAAGAATAAGAAAAATTTTGAATTTTCGTATAATATACTAATATTATTTTATAAAAGAATGTATGATTGAAAATAAGAGAGAAAAATATATATTTTAAATATAATGGCAATCAAACAAGTGCTAACTATTATTTATTTAAATTTAAACCCCTTGAAATAAAGGTCTCTTCGGAAAATCTTCAAAAATGACGTCCTAGCATGTGTTATAGAATAAACAGTAAATTCAGATATTTTCATCGTGATACACCACCTACTTCATGATATTAACTATTATTTCTTTAAATTTAGACCCATTGAAATCAAGCTCCTTGGAAAATCTTGAAAAATGACGTCCTACTAAACGAATTTGATAGATAGCAATTTCAATACTAGAATATAGAATAGACACATGTTCATGTTTTCACCATTCACATGTGCAATTGCCAACTACTATGTTGAGTTTGTGTCGCAATTCGCAAAACTACGGTAGCTTGATCTTTCGACTATCTTAGGACTAATACAACAATGTTATAAAAGAACTTTCAAGCATCCACGCTTTTAAAAGCCAATTTTGACGTTAACTTAAATTTTACTAATGTAAAACCATATATATAGATGGAACAAATTCATGGGGAAATTAATGACATTAGTTCAAGAAAACAAAACTCCAAAATGATAAAATGTGATTAAAAAAAACTGAAAGTTTGCAGCCAGTAGTTCAAATTGGCATTGCGAACGTTCTGAGAAGGAAAGAGATGGTAGGTAATTTGGTAACATCTCATTCCTATACCAAGAAAACTAAGGTGCATTTCTTGGACTTTTCGTTTACATTAAACCGTCTTAATTATCAAGTTTAATAAGATGGGTTTCTTGCAAAATGATCATAAATCAAGAGAAAATATCAAGGAAAATTTTTAGTGAAGTCGTGATCTGCAAATCTTGATGGAAAGCATTTGATTAGGACTTAATCAATTGCTTAATCATTAAACCCGCCTAGATTCATGCTTGATGTCAAGGCAAGTCTTTATTCTGATAGCGATTTGAACTAAAACCAAGAATACGAAGTATATGGTTTTACTTTAGTTGGGTTGATGGTATTAGAGTTAAGGAAAATCGGACTTCAAAATTTGTTCACGCATTGAGCCTTGGATGAAAGAAAAATCTTATAGCACGTGAGTGAACATTTAAAAAAAAAAAAATTTAAAAATATGTTTGTTGCTACTCTCATGATTCAAACTTTTAGACGAAGTGGTTTGATGTAGGAATCTTCAATAAATTGAAAAGGGTTCAAAAATAACATGAATCACCATATGATCATCTTTGCTTGTAAGTACTTGTTTAAAAAGTTATTAAAAGTTGATATCAAAGTCAACATTCAATTTTAATTACACATTTTATTAGATTCACAACTAAATAAAATTTTTCATATATTTCATCAAATTTTATCAAAATATGTCAATCCCCAGTTTGGTCGTACTAGATTTTTGAATTAAAATTAAAGTAAAAGTCAACAATTAATTTTAAACACACAATTTATAAATTTTTATGAAAATCTACTTTAAATCTTATTTTTAACTAAACCAAACAGGAACTAAATTTTTTTTCGAAATCTTGTAAAAGAAATTTTAAGACAATATCAAGCACTGACATGGGAAGTTTGATGAGAGACTAAAAAGTGCCCTATGAGGCTATGACAACTTTACTAAAGATTACTCGATGAGACGACGAAGAGAATCCTTTTAACAAATATTAGATAGTACTTTTACTTTTGTTTTTATTTTTTTTAAAAGAGTTTTATGAGAAAATTATTTAGATCAATTTTTCCTAAAATTTTTATCCAGGCAAAGCACTATTAAAAAATTATTCAAACATATTCAAAAACTTCTTAATTTCAAAAATAATTTTTATTTTTCAAAAATCTCATCAAACGTATCCTCTCTCTCTTTTAAAAATAGATTTTGGGAAAAATATGTTTGAAATAGTGATTTTTGAGGAAGGTGAGGTGAAAAATAAGGAAAATTATATATCTATTGGAGTCCAAAAAAGGGTGCTGTCCCTCGTAGGGAGAAAAAGATATAGTGGAATACCGAATACACTATAACCAAAATTTCAAACCGGATATTTATCAATTATTTTAGAAGTATTAATCCTAATTGAAATTTTGGCGCTAAGTTGGAAAGTGAGTCTTGGTTCAAACTTACCTATTTTGATGCGTGTTTGGTATACTCGTAGATTTAGCCGTTGTTTGAGCCCTATTTTTTTTGTTATAAATGTATTTTTAAATAGTGATTTTTTGGAAAACGTGTGATTAAAAATAAGAAAAAAATTTCGATTTACATATGATTTTATTTTATTGAAAAAGTCTGTGTGATCTTTAGGGGGCCACATTTAGGGTGATAATTGAAATCACTGTCATTCGTGGTAGCCTTAAACATTCTTGAGAAGTATTCAACACATAGCACAAACAAAAAGGAGGAGAGGGGATCACCTTGTCGGAGTCCTTTTCTTCCTTTGAAGAACCCATGTCTATTCTCATTCAAAGCTACGGAATACGTAGGAGAAGTAACACATTCCATGACCCAACTTATAAATCTCGAGGGGAAGTGCAACCCTTCAAGAATATCTCTAAGGAAATCCCAACTTATCAAATCGTAAACTTTCGTAAGATTAATTTTTAGGAGGCATCTTGGAGCAACACTTTTCCTATTGTATTGCCTCATGAGTTCTTGGGCAAGATGAATGTTCTCTATCATACTCCGACCTTCCACAAAAGCAGCTTGTGCATGATCCACAATACCATCCAAAATAGTTCTCAATCTAGAGGCAAGAATTTTAGCGATCACTTTGTAAGTAATATTACAACAAGAGATAGGCCTAAAATCCCCAACATGCAGTGTGTGACAAGATTTAGGCACCAAAGCAATGATCGTGTGATTGATTTGTTTGAGGATGGAACCCGAAGAGAAGAACTCCATGATAGCTTCAACAAACTCATCACCAATAGTCCCCCATGCACTCTTGAAAAAACAAGAAGTATAACCATTCGGTCCGGGAGACTTATCATCTCCAATATCAAAGAGTGCTTCTTTGATCTCCTTATAAGAAATGTCCCGACTCAAAGAGTTACCTTGTTCCAATGAAACCAAGGGACCGTTTGTTACAATTTCCATCTCAATAGGCCGAGTTGGGCAATTTTTTCCCAGCAAAGTAGTGTAAAATTTTACAAATTTCGTGGCAACTTGATCTCCTGATGTAGTATACATCCCATCCTCTTTCAGTATAGTAGCTATAAAATTCCTCCTTGAGCACCTTTTAACCACCGAGTGAAAGAACTTTGTACATTTATCACTTTGCTTAAGGAAGATGTATTTTGCCTTTTGATAATAAAAGCCACGTTCCGCTTCACATAAGCCAACAACTTTCTTTCTCAATTTAGCAACCATAAGTTGAAGATTTTCATTCATGGGTTGATTATGTAGTTGTAATTGGGCAACCTCCAATTCATTTTTAGTCTCATTTGCCCTAGTTGAAATGTGCCCAAAATGCTTAATATTAAGCTCCTTCAAAGCTCCCTTTAGTTTGCTCAACTTCTTGTAAAGGATAAATTGCTTTATCTCCCGCATATTAAAGTTCCAATAAGTTTGAATAAGATCATGAGAGTCCTCATGTTTGGTCAACATGTTAAAAAAACTTGAAAAGTTCTTTAGCGCTCCCCAACATGGTCATGTACGGAAAACAATGCAAGGGGAGTGGTCAGAAAGGCACCCGGAAGGTAGAAAATTTGCATGAACATATGCCCCATTTTGCACCCAAATATCATTGACCATTGCCCTATCAATTTTCC